ACAAAAGCGTGAGACCCTATCTGAAAAATAACCAAGGTGAAAAATGCTGGGGACGTGGCTCAAGTATAGAGTGCCTGCCCAGCAAGCATGAGGCTCTGAGTTCAAACCCCCGTACTGCCAAAAAAAAAATCACTTCTAAAAGGGGAAAACACACAGTTGTCCCTCAGAGCCCCAAAGATTCTAGATAATTCCCCCATATTCGAGAATGAAAAACTGACACTGTGATGCAAAGCTGTATCTGTGAGCCAGGGGTGACTTAGCAACATATTTTTATTAAGAACCCTCTGCACGCAGGAAGTCGGGACCACCTTGGGTCTCTGGGTCTTTCCTTCTTCTTTTTTGGCAGGGGGTCCAGGGTACTTTCAACCTCATTATCCTATCTTGATCTCCTGAGTGCTGGGATTACAGATGTGCACACCTGGGGACGGTTCTCAGGGGAAACCCAGCACACTTTCAGCCTCAGCAGTGGGGCAGAGAGCTGGCTGGGGGCTGGACATCTTCTTTATTCATCCATCTGTCAGATGTCTGGCTCCTCCCACCTTTTGGCTGTCGTGAGTGACAGTTTTGTGGGCATTCCTTGACACCCGTTCTCAGCAATTTGGGGGTGTACGCAGGAGGGGATCCTGTGTATTGTATGTTTGATGTTGTCAGGAAGCCAGGTGACTTTTGCACACACAGGTGGGACTCAAAGGGGTCTGTGCCCTCAGGCTGAAGCCCCATCCAGGGAATGCACCAGGCCCACCAAACTGTGTCCTCCTGCCCAGCACCTGTTCCCCTCCTTCTCCAATCTAATGGATCTCAGACTTCTAGGAACCTCGCACCTGGAAAGTCACACAGGAAGGGTCCCCTGCCCGCCTTTCTGGCATGTGGCTTTCGAGTGACTTTGCCTGTCAGCAGAACCTCACAATCACCAGGCAGGGCGTGTTAGCAGATCCTGGCTGTCTCCAAGCTGTGGCAGGAGTGACACTGCCGTCCTTGGCCAGGCCCCCGGGTCCTGCCCTGGAGCCTGTGACCCCCACCGTGGCCCCAGCCCCTTCCTGCCTTGTGGCTAATTGGACTTGACTGGGCTCCAGGGATTCCGGGACCCGCCTGGCAGGGCACAGACCCCCACTGTCACCTGCAGGATTAGCTCAGCCACCAGCTGGTCCTGAGCAGTTAGGACTTCTGGGGGCTGGGGGCATCCATGGAGGCCGCCGGTCAGCCCAGGGCCCGCTGCAGACCCATGTCCCGGCCAGGCACCCAGGCCGCCCATCTTTCCTCTGTGGGCTGAGGTGGAAGGTTCTGGTCCACCCGGGCCTAGAAGACCTGCTTCATTTTCCTCTGCTTTTCACTTGTGAGCAAAGGCAGACTGAGCCTGGGCCCTTCTTCCCTGTGGGACCTCCTGCCATGTGCAGCGTCTAGGAGCCACGAGTTCGAGGCCCATGTTTGCAGTTTCGATGCTGAGCCATCTAGGGCAGGTGGCTTAACCTCTCTGCGCCTCCTCTCCTCCTCTGTGAAATGAGACTGATAACGTCATTTAAGGCTTGAACATGTGTCAATCAGTGCCTGACTCTTAACTATGAGCTGTGATACGAATATTAGAATTATCTAGGGGGTAGAAATGACCCAAGCACTGTATGCACATATGAATAAAATAATAATTAAAAAAAAAAGAATTATCTTTATTCAGTGGGCAAGACCCAGGCCAGTAACACATCTCCTTTGATTCGGCCATCCACCTTATTTTATGCTCGTTTCTTGACAAAGGAGACAATGGAGAGTCAGATTGGGAAAGCCATTTGCCCAGGATTGCACAGCACAGAGGAAAGGTAGACATGTAATGCTTAACTGGTTCCCATCACGGTTCTGAGGCTGTTTGTCCAAATTTGTACATTTGACTCGTCTGCTGTGCTGGGTGCAATCTGATATGAAATAGGCCAAAAGGAGGAATCATTTATGTTGTCTGTCCTTATGGTGGCCTGGGGGTGGCTCCTGCCTGGCATGGATCCCACTGTGGGATCCTGGGAGCCTTTCAATTCCAGAGGAGGTGGCCGCATTGAGGTGGGGGGGGGAGGTCACAGTTTTTGTGGCATAGCAATGACAACAGTGCTCAGGCCTCACCCCAGCCCTAGTGGCAAACCCATTGGGTGTCTTGGTTTTGCCCTTGGGAGTCCCTGTGACCCTAACTTTGACCTATGTGTTTGCACCATTGCAGTGGCCTTTTGACTGTCCCCAGTGTCTGGGGACCTGCTTGTTCAGTCCAGTGAACCCACTGCAGACACGGCTCCCCAAATCCTGGAGGCCCCCAGGTGAATGAGGTGCATAGTGCAAAGTTCTCAGAACCACTCATGCTTATGAGCTGGCCAAGTGGGCTGAGGCCTGGGGGAAGGGTGGCTGGGGAGGCTGAGACCTGAGAGAGCGGAAGTCATCACTCACAGGTGTGTGGCTAGACTGGCCCTGATTCCGTGGTGTGAGGACAGTTGGGATGGGGTATTAGCTTTTTTTTGTTTGTTTTTTTCCTTGGCAGGGCTGGGGTTTGAACTCAGGGCTTCACATTTGCAAAGCAGGAACTCTACCACTTGAGCCATGGCTTCAGTCCACTTTGTGCTGGTTGTTTTGGAGATGGGGGTCTCGGGAACTATTTGCCTGGGATGGCCTTGAACCTTGATCCTTCCAATCTCAGCCTCCCAAGTAGCTAAGATTACAGGCGTGAGCCACCAGGGCCCAGCCAGGGGCTTGGTTTGAATACAGCCCATCCCCCTAGATCATGTAGCAGTTTAATCCCCGAAGCTATCTTTGGGTGTGTGCGGGGCTGGGGACTGAATCCGGGGCCTTGGGCTTGCTATGCCCTCAGCTCTGTGTGGTTCTTTAAAATTTCTTTGAGTTGGCAGACTGACTCAAGCAGTTAAAAGCACCTGAGGCCCTGAGCTCAAAAAAAAAAAAAAGAAAAGAAGAACAATTCTTTTTTGTGCTGGGATCACCGGTGTGCATCAATGCACTTGGCCAATCCTGGTGGTCTTATAATGACAGACAGAGACACAGAGATATCCACGTGCTCCCATGATGGCGGGACGCAGTCTAGGATCCCTTGATAGCCCCTTTATAAAGCAGCCTGCCTGGGGTATTTTGTTACAGTAACAGAGCTGACCCACACAGAAGGGCCCAGATGGTGAGGACACTGCGAAGTCACCCATGACATCATGGATGGATGCTGGATGTGAGGGCTTCCTGATGGCCGGGACTGGGGTGTGAGGAATATCATGACCTTCCCCACGCCCATGCCTTGCAGCCTAATTCCCAGTGGGAAGTGACTGGGCCATGATAGGGCCTGAGGTGTGGGGTTATAAAAGGGTCCCCAGAGTCAGGCACTGGGGGCTCAATGCCTACAATCTTCAGGAGGCACAGTTCAGGAGGATCGTGGCTCGAAGCCAGCCCAGGGCAAAAATGCAACTCTACCACCAAACGTAATTAAAGTAAAAAATGGTCTGGGGATGTGACCCAAGTGGAAGGTGCCTGCGCAGCAAGCCCTGAGCTCAAAGCCCTTCACAGCCCAAAAAATCCAAGTGGGAAGACAGACAGAAGTAAAAGGAGAATGCTGAAGCAGCTTCATGCTGTCAGGTCTGCTTTACCCGGATGTTCCACGCGAGCGGGTGGTGTGCTTGTCAGGGAGGCACTTCCGCACTGTGCCCATGTAAAGCCAGGCCCTACAGCTGGGGTGCGGCAGGTGCAGGGCACCTGCTTAGCAAGTGCCAGGCCCTGGGTCCCCACCCCCGCCCAGCTCTGCAAGACAACAAAACAACCAATTAGGACCTGAAGTGAAGAGCCCAGTATGGGCGGATGGGGGGGCTTCGTGGAGTGAGACTAGTACGAAGAGACCTGAGGCCCTGTGTGCATCTTGACCTGAGGGGATGACAGGAAGGGATTTGTCCCCTACCAGCTGACACAAGACATAGGTGTACTGTCTCCCCCTGGGGCTGAGAACTCGGCTGTGCTGTCCCATCCCCTGTACTGTAAAAAAAAAAAAAAAAGGCAAAAAAATGAAATAAATGAACATGGTCTCCAAGCAGTGCGATGGGCACCCCTCGCTCACTCAGGACGGGGCGTCTGGATAAACCCAAGAAGCGGAAATGAAGCAACTCCACCTGCCAGAAACCAAGACCAAAGTACGGTTTCCACTGCAAGGTTCAAAATCCTAAACCGAGCCACTTTAAGTGAGGGACCACCCTGTAACTAAAAATGCAGTAAAAATCCCAGGAACATGGCAGAGTGCACGTGGTATGAGGATAGATGGCTGAGGGTCTCTGGTCACAGCCCAGCGTGGGGATGACTGCTCTAGGACAACAGCCTGTGAGCGCCGGCCTGTGGGACTGACAGGACACGGGACTGACTTTTCATATGAGGGTCAATTCCAAACTTGCCACTGGACATTCACCAGAGCCAGGCGTCTACAGAACATGGAGCAATTTTCAAGTGAAATACTCACACAAGTGGAATGCCCCTAATCTGAAAGTCCAAAATCCGAAATACTCCAAAATCCGACACCAGCAGTGGAAAATCCCACGCTAGGAAACCTTGTGACTGCCTCCAGGTGACATGGGAAAGGTGCATGAAACATAATAGGTTTTGTGTTTATAGTTGGGCCCCATTCCCAAGATACCTCATTATGCACCCGCAGATCTTCCTGTGTGAGACTAGTGCAGGGGCTCACACCTGTTAATCCTAGCTACCTGGGAGGTGGGGATTGGGACAACCACAGTTCAGGCCAGCCAGCGGCAAGACAGGTATGGTAGGTAGTGTGCACCTGTCATCCCAGCCGCGTGGGAGGCACAGGTAGAAGGATCGAGGTCAGAGGCTGGCCCTGAGTAAAAGCATGAGACTCTATGTGAAAAATAAACTAGAAAGGGCTGGAGGCGGGGCTCAAATGGTAGCACGCCTGCCTAGCAAGCACCAGGCCCTGAGTTCAAGCCCCAGTACAGACAAGACAAAAAAGAAAATCAGAAATCTCAAACACTTCTGGTCTTCAGCATTTCACGTAAGGGATACAACAGAAGAATTTGAAGCAACAACCACCACCCAAGTGTCCCTTCCACAGAAACAAAGGCTGTGATGGAAAACAGTTTTGTTTTTTACACATCAAACAAGAAGTAAGGCTATCACTCAAAAACGACTACAGAGCTGCAAAGAAAGTGCTCCAAGGTCCCGCAGTCACACACGGTCACTACAAGTCTTCTGAGTAAGAGACACAAACGGGCTTCCTCCCATCCACGAGAAGGGGGTGTCGCTGGCTCAAGATCAGGCCTGCGTGGACTCACGGGCCACGTGGCTCACTGTCCACAGAGGGGACGGCGCCATCTGGGTTGAAGTACCACTGGCTGGGGGTGTCCGGGCCCGCGGCCTCTTCCCACACCTCCTGGTTCATCAGCGCTGCCTCTTTGCTGGCCTCCGCAGACAGTTCCATCACCTGGGCGAAGCTCCTGTAGGCAGAGACCACGGAGGCACCTCAGGGCGGGCCACCATCACCTGCACTGTCTGCAATGGGAGGCAGACATGGCTATCTGAAAAGACCCAACCCATCAAGCCCCGGGATCGCAGCAGGTGGCGTGAAAGACAAGACTCACTCGCCCACTAATGTGGCAGGCCCTGGGGGATCCAACACCCCGGCTCTTGAGGCCCTCCTATGAGTGGCGTGGTGCATATAGAACCTGCGCGGTCCTCCCAGACCTCACGTGACCTCTAGATGACATACAACACCTGACTGATGTCAATGCTTCCTGCGCAGTTGTTAAGCAGTATCGCTTAGGGCACCAGCATGAGAAGCCTACCTGCTCAGTACAGACCCAATTGTCTCTGAAAACATCCCTGTCTGCAGTGGTTAAGCCTGCAGCTGAGGAATGTGTGACCATGGAGGGTGACTGTGTACCTAGGAAGCATCAACGCGGTGCCAGGCACTGTCCCTAGTGAGGGTAGCACAGTACACACAGATGGACAAAGCCCCTGCCCTCACCTCGTCAATGACAGGGGTACGTCTGCACTCACTGTGTTTTTAACCACTCCACTGTTGGGGCCAGCTTGGCTGTTTTCCTGGGGTTTACTGTGTCTGGTAGTCACCTTGATTTCCCTACTCTGAGTCCATAAGCAGCTTTCTGCTAGCTCTGCAAAGTTGCAAGCCTCCAGCTAGCTCTGCAGTGTTTCCTGTACCTGTGACCACATTCTGTAGGGGGTTGGGGGACAAACTCTGTAAGTATTTAACCCAGCTCCTGACACAGATTGGGGCTCAGGGCTGTGAGAAATTATCTCCCGAGTCCGCGAGTGTAATAAACTCCCCAATTCCTGAAAAAATGGTCTCAGTGACCTTGTTTCCCTCATCATTTCCCGCAACACAACTTGTGGCCCTGCCATCTATACACCTGTGATGCGTCCTGATGGGAGACACAGGGCCAATGGAGGTGACAGCGGCTTCTCAAATGTATTAGGCACCTCAGGAAATGTATTTAGCATTGAAAGGAAGAGAAAACAGATTTGGTGGAACAGATGGACAGCCCACCCCTGGCGATGTCCTGGGGGAGGTGACAAGAGGGGTCCTGGGGTTGAGGGTGAATGGACACTGGGTCAGAATGAGGCTAGCTCACACACACATAGGGACACACGTGCTATGAAGCCATCGAGCTGCCCTTAGAACTGTCCTTTACTGTGTGTCCTGATGCTTCAAGGTTCCCGAATCACCTTCCCCAACCCTGGCCCCAGGGAGTGGGCCTGCTGCATATGCCCTCGGCCCTAGGTGTGACCCCAGCACCGATCGATGTGTGACCGTGAGCAGAGGATGCCAGTAAGGACAGGAAAGCCCCCCAGCTGCCCAGACTTCAGGGATCTTCCGAGCTAGGTCGTGGCTCCTTTGCTGTCCCCTCTTGCCTCTCTGCACTCTGGTGCTGTGTGACACCACTGACCCCGCACCCCATTACTCAGAACTGACTCAAGAGCGGGTCAGTATAGGGAACCACTGTCTGGACTCCTGGACAGTTACCCAGCACATGGATGGCACTGCCACCTGCTGGCCACTCCTGGCCTGAATAGCACGCTCAGGCTCCTTGCCCGACCCCAGCAAACGCCATGGCTGCCAAAACCCAGCACCACCAATGTCACCAGGGGTCAAGCCCCTCACAAACGGGGCACCGTCTTTCACGTAAGATGTCACCTCTCACCGTAAGCTGGCTTCCGTGGCTGGGGTGCAGCTCAGCGGCAGAGCACTCGCCTGGTGTGCTGAGACCCCGGCTCCCACGCCCAGCGACGCTCAAAGAGAAAGGAAGGAAGATGGAAGATGTTTGCCAGGATACCTGCGCAGCTGAAGGTCCTTCTTCACTGTGATGTCCCTGAGCTCGCTCAGGAAGTCCAGTGCCTGCCCGTTTGCTTCCGAGCTGTCAAAGCCAAGTTCTCTCAGCAGCCGGCAGGTGGTCGTCAGCTCAGGCTGCAGGGCATCTGGAGGGAAGGGAGTTGTTACCAGGGACGGGTCGGTGGTGCTGGTTTCCAGGTGGCCGAGGTGCAGCCACTGGTGCTGAGTGGCTCCAGTGGTTAACAAGGTCCAGAACAGTGCAGGAGGCAGGGTGAGGAGGAGCTGGGAGAGGGGACCAGGCTAGCACTCTACCTCTTAAGCCACTCCACCCGCCCTGTTTTGTGATGGGTTTTTTCCGAGATAGGGTCTTGTGAACTATTTGCCCGGGGTGGCTTCAAACTACAATCCTCCTGAGTTTGAGCCACTGTGCCTGGCTCACACCTATTATTCTGTAAGACATATGCTAACAAAAATGCAATAGCAATTGAAAAAACAACAACCAGGGCCAGCGCCGGTGGCTCATGCCTGTAATACCAGCTATTTGGGAGGCAGAGATCAGGAGGATCATGGTTCAAAGCCAGCCCAGGCAACTAGTTCATGAGCCCCTATCTTGAAAACACCCACCACAAAAAAAGGGCTGGTGGTTCAAGGTGAAGACCCTGAGTTCAAGCCCCAGTACTGCAAAGAAAACAGAACCAAACTGTAACAACCATGCAGCGCGTGTATCTCAGAATCACTGGACTTTTCCTTTAGAACACGTTCAACGTCATGCCTGTCCTCCTTCACTTTGGAAGAAGCTGTACTTTACTCACGTTCATTTCCTCTGAGGCTGCAGGGACAGGTAGTAGTGCCCTTGGGAATCCCCTGTGTTTTCATCCTACCTCAGATGAACTCAGCATGGAGGGCTTGGAGGGCAAGTCCATGGTGTGACGTGAAGTGGGGACGCTCCACTAGACAACCACGACTGACACAGACAGCTGGCCCTCCCTTGCCACAGTTCCCTGTCCAGAGAGTCAACCTACCACGGATCAAAAATTTTTCTTTTTTGGTATTACTGGGGTTTGAACTCAGGGCTTTGTGCTTGCCAGGCAGGCGCTTTGCCACTTGAACCACATGCCAGCCTGGATGGAAAGTACTTTCAAAAACTGTGTCTAGGCTGCCCTGATTCCCTAGGTGCAGTGTAACTTCGCAGGCAGCACTCATGTGGGATTAGGTATGGTAAGTCACCTAGAGATGGCCTAAAGCCGAGGTGAGGGTGTGCTCAGGTTCTATGCAAACGCTATGCCATTTTTTATTTGTTTGTTTGGAGACAAGGTCTTGCTATGTATCTCTGGTTGGTCTTTCTACAAAAAAAATTTTTTTTTTTTAATTTTATGGGACAAGTTTGAACCCAGGGCCTCACACTTGCTAGGCAGGCACTCTACCTCTTGAACTACTCCTCTAGTCTCCTGGTTGGTCTTGAGCCCTAGATCCTCCTGCCTTAGTCTCCTGAGCGCTGTGACTACAGAAGGGCACCACCGTGCCTGACTCTGCTATGCCATTTTATAGAACGGACCTGAGCATGTGCAGATTTTGTTTCGTTGAGGGGCCTGGAGAACTCCACAGACAGTAGGGAGTGGCTGTGCTAAGCTCACTGAAGCCTCATCTTAGAAACCAGGGCACCAGAGAACAAATGACGACGCTCTGGGAAGACACTTGTTTGCCCTGCAGAGGAGCTGAGGACAGAGCACAGCTAGTTCAGACAATGAAGCAGTAGCTGGAGCCCTATGCCTGCTCTGCTAAGAGAGCAGGTGGGGATGGAATTGGTGACTCTGTCACCAGGCAGGCCCACATCCCAACCACCAAGGCACACCTGTAGGGCCGGGGCTCAGAGGACCGCAAGTGCCCCAAGAATACCTTTCGACAGGCCAGATCACTGTGGATCCCTCAGCCCTGGGTTCAAATTCCAGCCCAGTGGCTCACTCAGAGTGGGTCCCTAGAGTAACCTCAGCTTGGCTGGCCCCCAGTGTCCTCTGCCCTCTGTGGGGGTTAGGGGGAGATACCCATCCCAGTGCTGTCAGAGGACAGAGGTGCCAGGCAGTTTGGCAGTTGTGCGGGGGTGTTCCTGCCCTCCCCACATGCCCCCCTGCAGCTGGGGTGCCCATGTCCTACCTAAGAGCTGCTGCCCGTCTCTCTCCAGGTGGATGGACTGTATGGGTAGCTCGTGCCTCGTACTGTCCAGGGCTGTGGCTAAGGCCTTGTACTGCTGCTGGAAGCGTCTGGACACCGCCGTGAAGGGGCTGAGTAGCTCTATCTGCAAGCAGGGGAGGGGCTGTGAGTGGGGACCCTGTGGTCAACCTTGGGGAAGCAGGTGGGGTTTTAACGTTCAGGGCTGCGTATGCGTGGGAAGCTTAGCAGTGTACAGACAAGACACAGCCCTGTTCCTCAGCAACCTCTAGGGGACCCCACAGAGAGGACGAGGATGTGACGGGGTCCCCAACTCTCCGCTGCCATGGCCCAGGCTGTTCCAGGAGCAAATGCAGAGTCACCTTCTAGTGCGTCCTGGGCCTGGGCTCCTCCAGGAAGGCTGGATCCTCTGCTATGGGGCCCTCGGCTTAAACACCCGTTCCGCACGTGGCCATCACAACACGTCCCACCCACCCTCAACTATGGAGCGGTCCTTACTCCACAAGCTTCACTCAGTCCCCCGCCTGGCTGTAGGTGTCCACGTGAACACGTTAGGTGTTGTGGGCTGAACTGTGCCCCCTGGATTCTCATCTGCTGTTCCAGTTTCCAGTATCTTAGAGTGTGACACCCTTGGAGAGAGGGTGTTTTGTTTTCTTTTGCAGTACTTGGGTTTGAATTCTGGATGCCATGCTTGCTAGGCAGATACTCTACTACTTGAGCCACTCTCTCAGTCCTTTTTTGATTTTTTTAGATAGGACCCCACATTTTTGTCCAGAGCCAGCCTTATACTGTGATCCTCCTATCTATCCCTCCCATGTAGCTGGGATTATAGGCACGAACTATCACACCTGGCTTGTTGGTTGAGATGGAGTCTTGCTAACTATTTGCCCAGGCTAGCCTTGAACCTCGATCTTCCCAATCTGTGCCTCCCAAGTAGCTGGGATTATAGGCATGAGCCACTGCACTTGGCCTGTAGAGAGGGGGTGGTCAAATTAAAATGAGGTCAGTAGAGTGGACCCAAATCCAATATGGCTAGTGTCCTGGTACAAAGAGGAAATCTGAACACAGAGACATATGAATATGAGGAGACAAAGGCAGAGAATTCTAGGATACATTATCCATCACGGCCCCCACAGAGGCAAGCCTGCCCACACCTGGTCTCTCAGCTTCCAGAACAGTGGGAGAACGGACTTTGGTTGTCTGGGCCACCCATGTGGGTATCCACTTATAGCAGCCACAGGAGACTTGTGTGCTGGGTGACGTGGTCCCTTCTCCCTGGCTGGCCTCTAGGGTCCTCCACGTCTTCCAACACTGCAATGTACTCCAACGTGACCGTGTCCCCTGCTGGCACCCTGGCCAAGCATGTATCCTGCTGTCCCACAGAAGCAGGCACTCGAGGACCACGTGCACAGGAGGGTGGGAGTGCAGGTCCCCACTCTGGGTCCCACTGTGTCACAGCCCTATCCTTAGACAAGCTGTCATGCACACCTGGGAAGCAGACTGCGTGGACACAGGGGCCCGCCACCAACCTGAGTGTCGAGGATGGCCGCCAGCTCCCGCTTCCTCTCGCACAGGGCCAGGCTGCGCCGCAGCTCATCCGCCTGCCTCTGCAGCCGCTCGCGCTCCCTGCACATGGTCCACAGCTTCCTCTCCGCCTTGTCCTCCAGCGCGGCCAGGCTATTCTCCATCTGTGAACCGTGAACATGAGGCAAGTTCAGTCTGAAGGGAGCCCCACTCACCCACAGCATAGGGTGCTGTCTTCACCTTCACAGTCAGCAGGCTCAGCAGCAACGTCTCGGACTCCATCATGTCTATCACCTCCACAACTTCCTCAAAAAGACAGAAAACATTGTCTCAGTCCATGGTGAACTGGGGCACACCCAGTTCCCCCCGAGAGGGGCAGAACCTGAACCTACATGTGCCATCTGGGCAGCAGCACTGGGGGTGGAGCCTAGGGCCTCACGTGTGAGAGGCAAGTGCTCTACCACTGCTCCGCCCTTGGCCCTGGGTTCAAGTTTATCATTTTACAGTTCCCTCCAGTCACACTCTCTGTGAGCCTGGTGCTCTGGGAGGAGGAGGGAAGCCTGGCCTTCTCTTGAACCCAGGGGATGAGGATGAAGCTGCAGCTGGGCATGCCAGGCAAGCGTTCACCACTGGATCACACCCACCCCTGCGAGTGGACCTGGGGAACCGTAACCTCTGTGAGTGATCGGAGGACACATATGGTCTTGATTTTCATCCCAAAGGGCGTGGTTGTGTTGCTCACTTGGTAACAGAGCCCCAGGGGTCGGGTGGCAGAGGTCACACAACCCGCCACCTTTTCCCTTCACACACTTACTGGGCTCTTTCTCTGCGGGGCACTAAGTGTGGTCAACCTGGTTTTCTTTGACATTGTCTTTTCCAGTTGTGGAGTCTTTCTGAACATGCTTTCATCTAAGGTAAAGAAAAACGTTAGCCTGGCCTTGGTGGCTCACGCCCATAATCCCAGCTATTCAGGAGGCAGAGATCAGGAGGATCATGGTTCGAAGCCAGCCCAGGCAAATAGTTCATGAGACTGTCTCGAAAAAAATCCCATCACAAAAAAGGGCTGGTGAAGTGGCTCAAGATGTAGACCCTGAGTTCAAGCCTAGTACCACACAGACGCAAAAAGAAAAATGTCGCATTTTATTTATATTTTTTGGAGACCGGGTCTTCAGGCTGGCCACTAACTGTCAATCTTCCTACCTCAGGAGCCTTCTAAGAGCTGGGACTACAGGTATAGCCACCATGCCTGGCAAGAAGAGCATTTTAATGATGAGAAACACATACGGACACCCCTGGGCTTCCAAATGAGGTACCTCTGGATAAACCGTCATAAGTTGGAAATGCCCTACTTAAGTGGGAAATGCATGGACTGCACCCCCCGCCCCAGCACCCCAGCTCAGCAGTTCACACACCCTCCTTGTGTGTGAAGGTCTGCCCTCCTTGTGACAGCGGGGCTGCCTGGGCACTCCACTCGCTGGTGCTGCCCAGCATCACAGAAGGGGAGGAGTGCAAAGGGCTGGCCTGGGAATAGACCCGGATAAACCATTCCAGACATACCACTTTTGCACCATTGTTAAGTTCAAAAAGTCCCAACTTGAGCCACCGTAAGACAGGGCTGCATCTACTTGGGAAGCTGTTGAGGTCTTCTGCGACCCTAGTGGTGACAGGGGGTAGAGGGGACACCTGATTTACCGTTAATGGCAGAGAGGTCCAGGTCCAGGTCAGGCGGGGCTGTGCCATGCCCTTCCAACACGGTGGACTGCAGGTTCCCCTGAGTGATGCTGCTGTTGTCCACTGTCCAAACAAGAACCCCGACTGAGCAGTGCTGGACGATGCTGTGATGTCATCTCCCACTGGGCCCTCACGGGGCTGCCCAAACTGTCGCTAAATAAACCTCTTTTTAAAATGAAGTTCCCACACTTGGGTATTTTCTTATAGCAAGAGCAAACTAAGATACCCCCAAACAGGCCTTCATTTCCCTTTTTTTAAAATAACAAACACGTCATGTCCACAATGAGAAAAGCTGGAAGTTCTCCATGTCACTTTGGTGACAGCTTCTAGAAGGTGGACTTGGGGGAGTGCAGACGAGGACGAGTGAGCCAGGACAGCACAGGGTCAGGGTAGGTGGGCCTCTCTGCTCAGAGGCTGGTTCTCAGAGCTGCTGGGGACACAGCTGAGTAACTTGGGAGGTGATGCCACAGGGCACTCCGTGACAGCACTTCTCTGAGGCCACATGGGAAGGAAGTGGTCGCCCTGCTTCCCTGCCATCCTGCCTCACCTCCCCACATGTCCCTAACCTGTCCTGCACTCAGACTCCGCCTGGCTCTGTCTTCTGACCTTCCCAGAGGGGAAGGGGAGCTTCGAGGTAATGGGGTCACTGCTAAGTAACGACGCTCTCCACGTCCACAATTCTCACCTCTGCTCTTCTGGAGCGTGCTGCCTTTCCTTCCCCCTTCAGGCGCCTTCCCGCGGGCTTTTGCTGCATCTGCAGCAGGATCCTGTCATGAGAGCACACGACGTTCAGACGACATCGTCCCCGCCCTGGAAGGGCAGGCCAGGTCTGTAGCATTTGTATCCACTCTCACTTTGAGGTGAGGAGAGGTTTAGGAGTTTTGAAGCTCTATCTTGAACACACAGGATGAGCAAATTTTGTCATAAAGGGGACAATCACAGGCACAGGACGCAGAAAACCAACACGACATTTCGGGGAGCAGTGGCTGACATGGGAGACAACAGCTGAGTGGTGTTTCTGTCTCATTTTCAGTATCTGCTTGTTTTCTAGACAGAACTTACGACTTTGGTCTTCAAGAAAAACAAAGTTTTTAAGTAGGTATTAATCCCTAAAACTTACCAAAAAACCGAGCAATGCATGGAGCGCTGCCCTTCCAATCACGCTAACTAAAGGCAAGGAGAAAGCCTTGGACAGAGCTGGAGCACTGCGCCATGTGGACGCTTCTTACTCCATGTCGTGGTGCCATAAGAAACAAGGGCAAACAGGCCGCAAAGGAAGGAAAACACTCACTTCCTGTCTTCTTGAGACATCGCCTAAGAACCCCCAGATGCCTTCAAAACCACGACTGAAATGAAGCAGGTGAGCTCTGTACCAGTGTGACTGGCCCTGTGGCGGTGTCTGGGGCATTTCCTGATGACAGGAGCACCTGCCCATGAGGATGCGACAGACCCCTCCCCGGTGTGAGGGCCACCATGCAATCCCTGAACGGAACAAAAAGGCAAAGGGGTAGAACCTGATCCCATTGCTTCCGCCTGCCCGATGGGGCAGCCGTGTCTACCTCATCTGCCCTCAGACAGGATCAACACCGTTGGCACCCCCGGCTCTTGGGGCTTTGGACTGAGATACGTCACATCGCCACTTCTCCTGGGCCTCGTCGCACATGGCTGTCAGGGGGCTTCCTGGCCTCCAGTCTCACGGGCCGGTCTTCGTAATAACCGTCCCTACGTTCCACGTAAGTCACGCGTGTGAACGCAGGAAGTGTAAATCCCACACACGGGGACATAGCTATGAAATAAACCTCTGGTCCTGTTTCTCTGGAGAACGCTAATACAGCAGGGTTGCAAGGTCCACGTAAGAGCCCACCGCGAGGGACACGGGGTGACACAATCCAAGCACGCTACATATACACGTATGAAAATGTCCCCTTGAAACACACTACTTTGTATAATTAATAAGGTCACATTTCTAGCAATGAATACATTTGGCACTTGAAATTTAAAGTACCACGTGTAACAGCACCAACCACCAGCAAATACTTAGGTATCGACCCAGCGAAACGTGTGCAAGGCCTAGACGCTGGCTGCCAGCGAGCCAAGAGCTATTTAAGCGGCAAGTATACCACGTCCATGGATTGTTAGTGAGATGGCATTCCTCTTAGGACTTAGGGACGCAATATAATTAAAATGTCACAGGAGGGCTGGGGTGTGGCTCAGTGGAAGAGCGCATGCCTAGCAGGCAGAAGGCCCTGGTTGGATCCCTAACACGCACACACATGCACGCACGCACACACATGCACGCACACGCGCTCAGCAGGAATTTTGCTAGCACACGACAAGCTAACTTTAACGTTTCTACTAAGGGGCGAAGGAACTAGAAGAGTCTAAGCTGTTCTAGAAAGAGCAGAGCGGGAGGGAGTCTCATGCTACCTCATTTCCAGACCGAGCCCAAAGCTGCTAAGGAACCTCGGCAGCGGGGACTGGAGCAGGAAAGACACGCATAACAACGGAAAGACGAGTCCAGAAGACACACACACACCTGGTCAGCTGTACCGTGCACGGTCATGAGACAACACAGTGGGGACAGTCATTAGGACGGATGGGGCAGACGCAACTCGGCAGCCACACACTACCAGAAGAGCCTGGACCCCAACGTGTCATCATGTACAAAACTCGAAATGGATCACACACCTAAACTAAAGCCTAAAGCTGTGAACTCCTGCAAGACACAGAAAAAGTCTTGGGTAAGGCAGAGATTTCTCAGGTAGCACACTGACAGCACAATCACAGAGGCAGAAAGCGCCGGTGGCTCATGGCTAGAATCCTAGCTCCTCAGGAGGCAGAGATCAGGAAGATGGTGGTTCGAAGCCATGCATGCAAATAGTTCATGAGACCCTAGTTTGAAAAAACCCGTCACAAAAAAGGGCTGGCACAGTGGCTCAAGGCATAGGCCCTGAGTCCAAGCACAAGAAGTACTGCAAAAAAGAAAAAAAAAAGGAGAAAATGCTAATAAGCTGGAATGCAGCAAAACCAAGACACCAATGAAAGGACAAGCCGCTGACGCACAGAGGACCTGCAAACTACCATGCAGACCGACTGTGTAGAGCCCTCAAAAGTCAGCAGTAAGAAAACACATCAATGAGCCAACTTAAAAAATGGGCACAGACTTGACCCAATGAGCCACCAAAGATGTAAGGGTGACAGTAAGCACAGGAAAGACGCTTGACCAACTGTTTTGGAAATGCCATACCCAGCCGCACGACCAAGATGGAGAAGGACTGACATGAGGGCTCCTGTGCTCGGTGGGAATGCAAAACAGCATATCCACTTTGGACAAATAGGAGCACAACTAAGTGTATGCTCACCTTACAAGCCAGCACTACCTCTCCTGAGAGAAAAGACAACTCATCCATCCAGAAACACCCAGGAATGTTTACACATTCCTGTCAAGGATCCCTAATCTGAAAATCTGAAATCTGAAACTTTATGAGTGCTGACATCATTTTTTAAAAATGTTTTTGCCACCCTGGGGTTTGAACTCAGGGCCTCACGCTTGTAGGGCAGGCAGCTACCATTTGAGCCACTCCGCCAGCCAAGAGCTGACATGATTGAGGTTCAGAAAGTTTCAGATTTTGGAGCATTTCAAATTTCAAATTTCCGGATTGGGGATGTTCAACAGCTACAGCCTGTGCAAGCATTCCAAAGTCTAAGAAACTCCAAAATCTGAAATCAAGCATTTTGCATAAGGGATACTCAGCCTGTAAGGACTGTTCAAAATCACTCAGATGGAAATATCTTTCAACTAGCGAATGCACAAACACTGTGGTGCATCTCTAAGTGGAACAGAATTCAGACATAAGAGGGAAGCAACAGGGCTGGGTGTGGTGGCTCACGCCTGTAATCCCAGCTCCATGGGAGGCACAGGCAGGATTGTGGTCTGAGGCTAGTCCCAGGTAAAAAGTGCAAGACCCCATATGAAAAAATAACTAAAAAGCAAAGGGCTGTGACGGGGCTCAAGTGGTACAGCACCTGCCTGGCAAGGGTAAGGCTGCGAGCTACCATCAAAAAGAAAAGAGGAAGCAACAGGTGACAACGTGGATGACTGGAAATGCACTCCACCAATTGTTAGAAGGCAAATGTAGAAGGCTACCTACTGTGTGACACCACTGACTGACCCGCAAAACTGCCTGGGCTGGGAGAGGCTGGCTCACAGCACGAGGGTTTGGAGATGAACTGTTGTGAGTCTTGACTGTGGAGTGATTCCATGATTTATCAAAACCTTATGCTGATCAGGGTGAGGCGACTGTGCAAGTGCACCTTGATTTTAAAATGAAAACAAAAAAAGTTACAGCTTACAGACACAAGGGGGCGCTGTAACTAAGCGTTCAAGGCAACATTACAATTTTGAAATGTGGAATGTGACCTTGACTGAAAGTCACTCCAAGAAGAGGATCAAACAGCGGCTGCAGCCAGGTGTGGTGATGCACACCTGTAATTCCCGTGCTTGGGAGGTGGAGGCAGGAGAACCGCCAGTCGGAGGCCAGCCTGAGCTACAAAGCGTTTCAGACCACGAAACTGTCCACGGCTATGAACCAAACTGGCTGGGCACCAGTGCTCACACCTGCGACCCTGGCTACTTGGAAGGCTAAAACTGGAAGGACTGCAGTTTGAGGTCAGTCTAGGAAAACAGTTTGAGAGACTCCATCTCCAAAATAACCAGAGCAAATGGACTGGAGGTGTGGCTCCAGGGGTAGAGCGCCTGCTTTGCGAGCATGAAGCCCCAAGTTCACACTCCAACCCCACCAAAGAAAACAAAAACCAAACAAGAAAAAGCAGGCTGGTACAAAAGTGTCACTTTCCTAAAGCTGGATCTGAAGCCAGTTTCTGGAACCTGCTATCCACCCTACCCAGAGCACAAGGCGGGCAGCAGGAGGGAGTACCTGACTTGATCGTACAATGAACGAAGGCTTAGGAGGCAGAGGGAGTGACTTTCCATCTCACCATGCGCTCTCCGAAACAAAATATGCAGCTGGGTGACTGACTGACTGCTCTTACAACTTTGCACACTGCAGGTTCTCATGGGGTTCGGCACTTCCCACACCACTGTCTACAAAGGTTTTGTGGTGTGCCTACACAGCAGTTTCCTGAATGCTTCCTCTGACAGTGGGTGATTTGAGTGTGCGGTTCTCCCTAAGACTTCACAGGTATTTTTTAGACAAATGGAAGACTTGCTTTGGAATCCTCAAGTGGATTACACTGAGCTCTCCTCACTCACAGTCTGAAAATAGTAAAGGGAAAATTCCAGAAATAAATGATTCCTAAGTTTTAAACTTCATGCTGCTCTGAGCAGTACGAGGAAATCTCACACCATGCCAGCGTGTCCATACCGTATATACTATTCTCCCGTTAGTAACTTAGTGGCTGTCTCAGTTAGGTGTGACTGTTGTAGCCTAATGCTGGTGTTCAAATAACTTTTTTTTGGTGATACTGGAGTTGGAACTCAGGGTCTTGCTAAGCAGGTGCTCTACCAGTTGAGAAATTCCACCAGCTCCAAGTAACTTATTTTACTTAGTAATGACCCAAGGTGCAAGAGTCATGATGCAAAGGAGACAGCAGGACATAGAAATTTAAGGCAGACCACTGCTGGCATTGTCTGCAGTTTCAGGCATGTTTCTCCCACAAACCAGGAGGACTAATGTATTAGGTGATGCGACACAAGGCAAGAACAACTTTATGTTTCATGACTTTACAAAAGGGACTTTGCCCCCTCAGTTCTGGGGTTTGAACCCAGGGCCCTGTGTTGGCCAAACAGGTGCTCTACCACTTGAGCCACACCCTAGCCCTTACAAAAGGGGTAGAACGCAACTGCATGAAGGGCTGGGGTCTCAAAGGAACTTTGGCCCTGACCCCAAAACACTCTCCTAGGACCAGGCTGGGACCACTCATGTGACACGAGGACTATCTCGAACAGTGTGAATTGCGTATTTTGTTACCTTTCTGGTTTTCTTCTCATACTGCAGGTATCGGGACTTGACCACTCTTCCTCCTGTGGGAACACATTGCTGCTTTATAACAAAACTGTGATAAGGACTGAAAGACCCAGCAAACACTCGGGAGCCCATACTGAGATGGGAGGTGCTCCGGCCCTCTTGCTCTGTGACAGAAAGAGAGAACTTCTCCCTCTGCTCCCCACAGACTATCCCTTCAGCACCCTTTCACATCTAGGGATGCCTACCACACACGAGAGCATCTATAGGGCACCTACTGATTCTAGGGGCTAGCACAGGGCCACAGAGTTCCAGAGGACTAGATCAAGGAAGACTGTGAAAAGGAACACGACAGAAAGTTAAGGCCAGAAGTGCACTCACTCAGACAGGGGAGGGAAAGGAAGAAAAACTTTTACTGGGGCCTTCCACTTCCTCCCTGGGGACATGACCCTAACAGCACCTTCCTGCCAGGGTGTCTACAACCCACTCGTGATACACCACTCACTTCCCTCATCCACCCACCCATAGCATGCAGGGGACCCCTCCTGAGACCCACTCAGGGTCCAGGCCCTCCTCAGACACAGCTGCATCCCTTGGTGACGGTCCAGCCCCAGCTGAACCCTGTTCCAGCTCCTGCAAGGCTAAGCTTAGTCCACCATTCTGTCCCCATCCCCTAGGCCCACCCACCTTCAGCCTCAGGGGCCTGCTCCCCGCGTCACTGGGAAGCCAGCACCCTTCCACTGCAGCATCCTGCTTTCCTTCCTGGATGGACCTGTGACCCCCCCACTACGGGGAAAAGAGCCCAGCCCCACCTCCCCAGGCTGCACCCCACAGCCTGTCTCCACCAGAGCACACTGTTAATTCTCTGCGCCCACCGCCCCTCAACTCACACCCAGTTCTCTGTTCCCTATCATAGGAAACACCCAATGCTCTGTACCCACTGCATCCTCGTCCTCCCCAGTCTGCCTTTCAGGCCCACCACGGCCACTGCTTTCTCCCTGATCCTGAGGCCGGCAACTGTTCTGTCCACACTATCTAAGCCCTCTGCATCTGTGCTCTCCAGGCACAGGGAGCACTCGGGCCCCACTCCTTGACCTCCAGGCTGCCCCTCTCTTGGGACTGACAAGGTTGGCCTGCTGGGTCCTTCCGCTCATGAGCCCCAAGTTCTTCTGGGATCTTCTGGCCTCTGCACTGTAGGTCCTGTGCTCCAGACCTGCCACCTCCTCCCTCACCCTGTTCCTGACAACCTGACCCCTTGCACTGCCTCCTCCAAGGCTCTCCTCAGCTGGTGCCGTGGCCCTCACCGGCCTGCTCTGCTGTTCTGCCCACAGCATCCCGTCATAAGCCCCCTGTGTCTCCTACCCCGAGGACAGGTATGTCTGTCTTGCTTTGCTTGCTGTGACATTTCATCAATGACAGGGAGTAGGGGCTCAGAATATCAAACTAATGCATCTATCTTTTTTTTTTTTTTTAAATCTTATTCTGTTGTTGTGTTGAGGTTGGGTGTCACTCTGTGGCCCAAGATAACCTCAAACTCCAGGGCTAAAGCAATCCTCCTGCCTCAGCCTCCCAGCAGCTGGGACTAAAGCTGCACACCACTGTGCCTGGCTTTGATTTTGTACTTTTTAAAGGTGCCCATAGCAGAGACTTCTCCTGGTCCTGAACAGATCCAGGAAGTGTGACAAGGTCAAGGCCACACAGTTAACTGGTCTGGCTGGGTGGGATTGTTGTCAACTGTATCTTCATGCCAAGACTGGATTCTGCTGATGGGGACTAGGGTGGCAGCAGCAGCAGCCCTGGGAGAAAAGAGGCAAGCCTACAGCTAACAGAAACCCAGAGTTGGTCAAAGAGCTGCAGTCACCCTGGGCAATCCCCAGGTGGGGATGAGCCATGTCTGCTGAGTGAGGAACAGGCAGGTGGGGCTCAGAAGCTGTGGACAATCAAAAGGCCAGGCACCTAAGGATCAAGGCCAGAACCAGGCAGGGTCCTGGGAACAGGCCACATGGAGGGTCTGCCTGCCCTGGAGATAGCAAAGGGTGTGGGTGAGGTGCCCGACCCACACTGGGTCTTTCCAGTACCACCAGGCAAAGGCTGTGCTCATGGAGGCTCCTGAGGCTCTGGCTGCCTTAGACAGCAGGGACACAGAAGTTTCAAGTTTCTGGAAAACTGGAACGTGACTGTTCAACCAGTGGAGAATGGTTGACAGTGAGGGACACAGTTTGTGTCCAAGGACTGGGTAGCACTTAATACACGAATGGTTATGTGCCAGGTTAACACACTGGGGTGGGGTGCGGCTCAGGACAGAGTGCCTGCCTAGCATGTGTGTGGCCCTGGGTTCCATTACAGCACTGCAAAAAAACAAAACAAAACAAAACCAAAAAAACCCCAAAATCTAAAGTCACCACATGACTCTCTAGATGGGGCACTGCCACATGGCACACACTAACAAAAAGCTCCACATCAGAATCAACTGCCCAGGCTGGGTGCCGCTGAGGCCCGACAGGATGGGGGCTGTTTAGTGACTCCAGATTTCCAGGTGAAGGGGACGTTCGGGCACCCCATACAGCTGATGCACTTTCACAGTGGGAACTGACACCAGGCTTTTAGATAACGAATGGAGCTCGGTCTCCACACCTGTCCTGGACACCTCCTGAGCTCTGTGGCTAAGAGACCTCTGATGTCCAAATGCCCGCCACTACCTCCTGGGTTTGAACGTGGCGCCTCATGCTTGCCACTTGAGCCATCGCCAGCCCTCTCTGGTCTGTTTGGAAGAAACCCCACTTTAATGGCAGTGGACCCTGGTGTTGCTCACCTTGTACTCTCTTCCCTTTTGCCTTGGTGCCACCAGGGGCGGCGGAAGCAGCCGCAGCAGACTTCCTATGAGAGAGAGAGAGATCACATTTCATCTCACCGCATGAGCAGCACAGGGAAGCAGGGAAGCAGACAGGTACTCTGCCAGCGGGAGCTTGAGCTCAGCTTGCTTGTGATAGCCCAGTCCCAGTGCCAGCCACCCCAGGACAATCTCAGCAAAGCCAGGCCACCTCAAGGAAGAGTGACAGCCTCGGTCACATGGGCCACATGGCGGAGCCAAATTCCTAGGCTGAGAAAAAAGTGCTGAAGACTGGAAGTTTTTGTTGAGCATAAAGATCTCAAGTTAGCCATGGGTTGGTTCATTCATTCCTCAGATGTTTATGCACCTACTGTATGCCTCCGGGGTACAGCCAGTGAACAAGACAGAGCTTCTCGCGGTTTCCCTATCAGACAAAGTGGCCAGTGGCCCACGCAGGTAGGGGGTGTGAAGGAAGGACAGAAAGTTCAGGTATCTGACAGAGGACATTCTGGGACAAGGATTGGACAAGGCCCAGCACACCGGGCAGGAGAGGAGTATGTGGACACAGGACTCGATGGCCTGTGGTTTGGTTGGGGAAGATGGACAGGGGTGTGAAGTCTGGAAGGACTGAGGGCCAGGCCAGGCTGGAAGAACTAGAATGTCCAACTTAAGGACTTGGACTGTCCCTATAGCTCAGGGAGGGCAACCCTTCTCTGTGAAGTGCCAGACGGTACATATTCACAATTTGTAAGGCGTGTGGTCACCGTTCTAGCCTGAAGCAGTCACACAGAATGAACAGGTGGGCTAAGCTTCAGTGAACTTTTTTTTGTGGGACTGAGGATTGAACCTAGGACACGCTCAGGCAAGCACTCTACTCTTGAGCCACACCCTGTCGCCCCCACCATCCCCCTGCGGTACCAGGGTTTAAACTCAGGGATTCGTACTTGCTAGGCAGGTGCTCTACCACTTGAGCCTCGCCTCCAGCCCTGTGCTCTGGTTATGCTGGAGATGGGGGGTCTTGGTTTTGCCCAGGCCGATCTGGACAGCTGTCCTTACATTTTCCATGCTTCCCGCCTTGGCTGTGATGACAGGCGCACGCACCACATCCAGCTTATTTCTGTTGAGATGGTGTCCCCCGGGTGGTTAGGATTAAAGCATGAGACACTGGTGCCTGGCTTTCATCTTGTTTTTGAGATAAGGGTCTCACTTTGTCCAGGCTGGCCTCAAACTTTCACTCTTCCTGCTTCAGCATCCCAAGCAACTAGGACTCCAGGCGTGTAATCCCATCATGTTTGGCATTATTTTTTGTTTGTTTTTGAGATAGGGTCTTGCTACATAGCTCAGGCTGGCATCAAGATTCTCCTGCCTTGGCCTCCTGAGTGCTGGGATTACAGGCTTGTGCCACCATGCCCAGCTAAAATAAAACTTTCTTGACATTTATTTGGATTTCATACAATTTTCAAGTGTCATAAAATAGTCTTCTTTTGATTTTTTTTTGGGGGGGGCAACCTTAAACATTTAAAAGACTACAAACCAACACAGGAGGCTGAGGCAGGAAGATCATGAGTTCAAGGCCAGCCTCGGCTACACAGTGAGATCCTGTCTCAAAAAATAAATTATGAAAAAAATTAAAATGTACAAACCATTCCTATCTCTCCAGCCAAACAAAAATTGCTTGTCCTGACTTCCTCTACAGGGTGCAGAGCCCAGCTATGGGCAACAGGGAAACGGGCAGGGTTGGATGCAGGAAATGGACAACCTTTGGCCACTGGGAAGAAGATGGACTCTGAAGCGCTACAAAGGATAGAGCCCTGTCTGCTGTTGCTCCTTGGCTTGTAGATTAGCTCAGCTGCAGGGGATCATAGACAGAGTGGTTTAAATGTGACCTCACTTCCCACAGTTCTAGAGGCCAGAGTGTGAGAGCAGGTGTTAGCCAGATGGTCATGACCTCTTCTTTGTGGGGTGCACCATGAGTGACCAACTCTCTAGTGTCTTTTCCACACAATCCTCCAGGATCTGAAGACATTACCAGTTGTCACAACACATGGGGTGCTACTGGCACAATGGGTGGGGGCCAAGGATGTCACTCAACACGCTGCAATGCCCAGGATGGCCCCCACTAGAGAAGGAGCTGGTCCTAGGTGGCCCCAGTACCCAAGCTGAGAGCCCCTGGCGTGGCTGGAAGTGTGAGACTGAACATAGAGAGAAATCTCAGAAAACAGCTAACTCCTTTCAAGAAATAAGTTGGGTGTTTGTGACTCACACCTGTAATCCTGGCTACTTGGGAGGATCAAAGTTTGAGGCCAGCTGGGGCAAATGGTTCTTGAGACCCCATCTCCAAAATAACCAGAGCAAAAATGGACTGGTGTTGGGCACCAGTGGCTCACACCTGTAATCCTAGCTACATAGGAGACAGAGATCTGGAGGATTGTGGTTTGAAGCCAGCCTGGGCAAATAGTTTGCAAGACCCTATCTTAAAAAAAGCACTTCACAAAAATAGGGATGGTGGAGTGGCTCAAGGTGAAGGCCCTGAGTTCAAGCCCCAGCACTGCAAAAAAAAAAAAAAAAGGACTAGAGGTGTGGTTCAAGCGGTAGAGCACCTGCTTTGTAAACATGAAGCCCTGAGTTCAAATCCCAGTTCCACCAAAAAATTTTTAAAAAGGAAGCTGAAATATTATTCAGCTCTAACAGAGAATGAAGTCCTAATTTTTCAAGCGCTACTCTAACAAGAAAGAATATGCAGAATAAAAGAAATTAGACACAAAAGAGCATACAGGATATGATATGTCCAGACCAGGCAAATCCAGAGACAGAAAGGGGTTGCAACCAGCTGGAGAGGGGTAGGGGGAGGGATTACTAATGGGGTCCAGTTTCCTCTTAAAATAATAATGATATTCTGAAACCAGAAAACAGGTGAAAATCTTGCAAACTGAATTTACTGAAGGGCGCTGACCTTCAAATGTTCAATTTCATGCTATAGCATTTTACCTTAAGTTAAAAAGAGAATGAAGCCGGCACAGTGGCTCACAGTTGTAATCCCAGCACTCAGGTAGCTGAGGCAGAAGGATCAAGAGCTCAAGGTCAGCTGGGGCGACATAAAAAGTCACCAATAAATAAATAAAATCTATGAATGGGGACAACGGAGAATGGGGAAGAATGAGGGAAATATTTTAGGGCCGGCGCTATTAAGAGCCAGGCCCTTTTATGCGTGTTTAAACCTCATACGACGCCCATGAGGTTCAGCGGCGTCCTCTGCCCCATTCCGCAGCGAAGGAAAACGAGGCACAGAGAGGTTCAGCCACGTGCCTTGGTCATCCAGCGTCAGAGCCGAACAGGTAGAACTTGAACTCGTGGCCGGGTCCAGGGCCCGAGCTCGCGAGCATGCGCAGAGAACGCAAATAGCCGGGGCTTCGAGGGACCTGTACATCCTGGGCGGATCCGAACTCGCTCCAAGGGTCCCTGCTCCCCAACTCCACTGAGAGTCTGTCCCCCACCCCTTGGCCATGGCAGTCCCTTTGGTGCTCACAAACCCAAACTTGAGGCGCCTCAACTCACCCAGGTACGCGTCCTGAGGAGTCCGCCATTTTCCCGCCTTCTACTCAAAGTCCCGCACTTTAAGGCGGGTTCCGCCCAATCTCCACGGGTCGGACTGTACTACGGAGTTTCAGGAGGTGTGACCACGGGCCAAGGAAATGCGGGCCGAGTGCAAAGTGGGCGGGTCCTGAGCGCGCACCTCCCTCTCCTTCCTTTACTGTTGGTCTCGCCCACCAGCGGGCCGAGGGGGGCGTGGCTTATTGTCGCCCCGCCCCACCCGTGGCGCGCTGGCGTCACGCCCACTGCCCCCGCCCCCTCCGGAACCCGGAAGTGGGAGCGCGCGGGGGAGCGGCGGGCGCGGCGGGCGCGGCGGGCGCGGCGGGGCGGAGCGGCCGGAGGGAGCATTGGCTGGCGGGCTGGTGTCCGGGCGGGGGACCCGGCCCGGGACCGGTGGCGCGCGGCGGCCGAGGCCCAGGTGAGTTGCAGGCGGCTTGTGGGTTGGGGACTCAACCTTGAAGTGTGGATTGGATCGTGGGGACTGCGGGGAGGAAAAAAAAAAAAAAAAAAGGGACGGAGCCGAGTGCTGATGGGGGACGCGTCGGCAGGGGGTCGAGGGGGCGGGTACGAGCCCGGGGGTCGTGGAGAGGTTGCTGGGGCCGGGATGGAAGCGAGACGAGGGAGGATACGGTGGGTAGGGCCGGGTCTGGTGAGGGAGTTTGCGGGCGCGAGTCTTGCGGCTTTGAGCAGCTTCTCTGAAGAGGACGTGGCTTAAGTGGTAATTGGGGGGTCGCAGGAAACGGGGCTGGGGGGGGGAAGACGAGGAGGCGGAGTTGAGAGGCCCAGGATGGGGGAAGGGCCAGGCCAGTGGGGCGAACAGCTGGGGTACGGTTGGAGGGAAAGGGGTACAGGACCGGCCTGGGGGCGTCTGCTGGCGCCATCCAAGCCCTAGGTGAGGGTTGTCTGAGAGGGTGGTGCCGGGCACCCAGTGGGAGCTCAGTGATCGTGAGGAGTTCTGAACTCACTGATGTGTGTGTGTGGGAGGGGTCGGACAGGAGGAAGAATAGGGGTGCTGAGAGGGAAGAAAAGGAAGAGAAGTCAGTGCAAGAACTGGGGATAGAGCCAGGGAGAGTCTGGGGAGAAAGGGAGAGAAGGAAAGGGCCAGAGAAGCCCTGTGGAGATGTTGAGGTGCAGCCCCTGGAGATTTGCCCTCCACCTTGATCTCCTGCCTCACTTGCTGCCCAACAGCTGGACCTGCCTGCAGGGGAGGCCTGGCACTCTTTGGGTCAGTCTGTTTCTTAGGACAGGACTAGCTAGATTTTGGGGTTCCTGGGAGCAAGGAAGGAGCCTTGGGACCCCAAACTGTGTTCAGAAGACAGGGAGCTGTAATGCATGTGGTGTAACGCGTGTGCAGGCCTGTGGCCACCTCCTCAGAGTCGCATCCTTGGACTTAAAAGGCTAAAACGACATACAGGAAATCTGTCCCTTAGCAGCTGCGAGCTCAACCCTGGAGAGGCACAGCACCCAAGTGCCCTCCCCTCTGTCCTGGGCACCCAGTAAGGAAAGAAGCAGCCCAAGGGTCCGAGCTTCTGCCTTCCCTGGGGCCTTTTCTGATCTTTGAATTTTTACAATCTTGCAGGTGACCTGGACAACTGCAAAGTTGTGTCACTGGCCTATCTGTCTGCTCTAGAAGAGCCTGGGGCTGGCTGGGTTTGACTGGCATTACTTTCTTCCCCCTAGCCCCAACTGTGAAGTTCTTTATTTGCTTTCTGAGAGAAGGGGAGCCAAGTTTACAGCTCCTTTAGTGGATGAATCTGGATAGAGAAATAATCACTCCAAATATTTCCAGAATATTCTGGTGTTTAAGGAAGAAGCCTTTTAGCCTCTCTTGCCGCAGGATACACAATTACAGCCCGCAGGTACCTCCTGCAGACAATGACTTAGCTTGCTCAGGCCGAACACCTCAGTGACCAGGACCAGAATTGTCACATCCCTCAGCCAGGCTGTATCACCAACTCCCTGCCCTGGGGAGTGGCTGTAGGGATGTTAGAGAGAGAGCAATGTGTAGCGGCCTGCCTGTTTCTTCACCTGTAAATTGAATGGACTGGCCTTATCAGCACTTTTTCCAACCCCTCTTATTACCTTTCCCGTCTCCAGTACACACCCTCCCTTGGACATCATGCAGCTCTGTCTGTCTCTCACATTCTCACTACAGTAAGCCTACATTTAGTTGGCTTCAGTTTATGTCCACAAATGAATTTATGTATTTATTTGGTGGCACTGGGGTTTGAACTCAGGGCCTTACGCTTGCTAGGCAGGCACTCTACCACTTGAGCCACTGCACCTGTCCCACAAATGAATTTTTACTGCTTCTTTGTCTTCCTTTTTTTTTTTTGGAGCTGGAAACAGAGCCCAGGGTGTCATGTATGCTAGGCAAGGGCTCCCCACTGAGCTACGTCCCCAGTGCTCATCATCCCAATAGAAAGCTATGGTGCCGAGTATGCTTTTTGCATAAGGCACTGACCCTCAAATCTTTGGCTGCAGTCTTCTGGTTGGGAACCCCTGGGCAAGTCCAGCCTGGTAGCTGCCGATCAGGTGGGGACTTGGGGACTCTCTCCTTGCTGTCTGGCTGCCAGATCTATTTCCTCTCCCAATAGAGGTCATTAGCTTGCTGTTTCTCCCAGCTTCATCTGTCCTAAGGAGTTTATGTTGGGTGAACCCAGAGTTCCATTGAGCAAGCCCTTGTCTGCTCCCAAGGACAGAGCTGAGCCCTTCTTCCCTGGAGGAGGGACATCTAGTGTCCCCCATGTGGAAAGAATGGAGTTCAGATCAGGCAGGGCAGTGACAGCAGAGTCTCAAACCAAGCAAGGAAGATGGAATTGCTCTTGGTGGAGCACCTGGTGTGACAGGTGCTTTGATTAGTCCCCACTCTTACTCTGCCAACATCCAGCAAGAAGGTCCTAGTCTCTACTTTCCTGAAACAGGCCAGAGTGGTGATGACTTCCAAGATGGCTTCTTGGGCCTTTTAGAACCACAAACGTCACCATTAACCTTAAATGGGTGGAGAACAAACCTCCAAAGAATTGTCAACAGCGGCGTCCTTGACGTCCCCTGGGGACCACTTTGTGTGCTGTAGGCTGTTGAGCAGCATGCTTCACGCATTAGATGCCACTGGTATTCCCTCTCCTAGAAGATGTGACAACCGAAAATGACTCTAGGCATGGCATTTCTGGGGCTGGGGGGGACCCAGAATGGCTGATGCTCTGTGTTAGATTCTGGCTCCCATCTGGGGTCCAGCCTGGCATTGTTATTCTCCAGCCAAGGGTTTGAGGGAGGGATGACATTGGCCACTGAATTCTGCTGTCCCATCGCTTCTTTATCTGGAGGGAGTGGGTCTGATAAGAAAGGAGGGGCAGTTGGGAACAGTCCCAGGGGGTGGTGGGCAATGCATCCCAGGGTGGACGGCTAAGGAGGGACTGGTGAGAACAGCAAGGGCCATTGTGCCTGTCGTCTTCGTATCACTGCTGACCTGAATTTCTGGAGGCACTGTCCTATCTGGGAACAAACTGTGGCTTTTCTTCTGTGATTAGAGACATCAGGATCTCGTCTCTAAAGCTACTTTGGAAGTCACCCCGGATGAACGTGGCTTCTGTGAGCCGCGTTATCTCCTCCTGTGCTCCTGGAGACGCCTGTCCGTTCCCAGGCGCACACTGTTTAATTTTTGTTCTAATGTGCTCTGGCTGTTCCCTCCTTGGCCTATCATCTACCTCCCACCCTCCCAGCTGACTGTGACATTTCTGCCTAGTGGGATCTGACGGATGAGCCCTTCTGGTGCTGTCCCGGCACCCCACTCACCAGCCTTTTGTGTGTTTGGTGTCCCCAACCCCTTGTGCCAGGCAGCCCCTGCCCGGCCCCACCATTCATCCAGCCCAGGCGTGGCCTCCCTGCAGAGCAAAACAGGCCCTTCTCTTCTGCCCTCGTCATCCCCAGAGTGGCAGAACAAAGGGCCCTGTCTCCGCAGCAGCCCACCACCACCGCCACCGCCACTGACGGCGGGCAGCCCTTGCTGCTCCCTTGGGCTGGGAAAGAGCCTCTGCAGAGATTAGGCGTGTTTCAGAAATGCATCTGATGACTTTGACTTCTACTCATTTCCTAGTCAAGACTCTGAGCCCAGTGATAAATAAAGTAGTGATTCAGGGGTTCGGCCTGTGGGGCGATGAATAAGCTGGCCTTGTCTGACTCATTCGTGTCGATGATCCCAGCTCGGCCCTGCTTCCAGGGTGTTGTGTGTGTGTGTGTACTTGTGTGTATATAGGAGTGAGGGAGCCCAGGGAGCCCAGCTTTGGGAAGTTCATTCCTGTCATTGCTGGGATGAGTTTGTCACAGATGTCAGGACAAAGTGACCATGTTGAGTGACCATAAGCAGCAGGAATGTTTGTCTCATAGTTCTCAAGTCTAGACATCCAAGATCAAGGTGTTGGCAGGTTTGGTTGCTTCTGGAGCTATGAGAATCCACTCTGGCCTTTCTCATTGGCTTGTGGGTAGCCGTCTTCCCCCTGCATCTTCACGTCATCTCACTTGTCTCTGTGTCCCAATTTCCTCTTATGAAGACACCAGCCACAGAGATGAAGGTCCACCCTAAAACCTCATTTTAACTTAACTATCACTATAAAGACCCTATTTCCAAGTCGGGTGTGTGGAGCACAACTGTAATCCCAGCACTCAGGAGGCTGAGGCAGAAGGATCTCGAGTTCCAGGCCAGCTTTGGCTACATAACCAAATCCTGTCTCAAAAGAAGAAAAAAAAAAGAAAGAAAGAAAAGATTCTATGTCCATATATAGCCATCTTTTCAAGTACTGGATTAGGGCCTCGACATATGAATATTTGTGTGTTTGGAGGGGTGTTACAATTTGTCCAGTCACACTGAGTAAGGGACAGACTTCACTTTTAGGTCACAAAGGAATTGGTGATTAACAGTCCCACCAAATAGAGTATGGTTTTGTCTCGTATAAATAAATAGTTCAGATGATGGTCCATATCAACCGTGGAAACT